TATATATATATATATATATATATATATATATGATTAATCCTACCTATGTTATTCGGATTTAGAATGAAAACATTAATTAAATAGATTTTGATGATATTTATGTTCAAATATGTTTTTCTTTTCTAATAGCAATACCTATTCAAGGAGACTTAGTTTAATGTTCCACAAACAACATGTTCATTAAAATATCGTAGTATGAATTGATGTAAAGTTAACTTAACCTATTTTTATCCTATCAAAAAAATAATGATTGTTATTATTATTTTAATCACTTATTTAATTTGAATAAGGTAAACATTTTACCTCAGCTTATATTTTCAAAATTGGACTAAATCAACATTTTAAATAATAAATATAAATCAACTGCATATTCAATTGTTATTAGTTACTATTATTATTTATTTTTATTTTTCATATATTTATAGGAAAATAAAATAAAGGTCACATTAGCGTTAGCTCTTCATCCTTTGAAAATAACTGATTCCTCGACACTCTCCCTCCGTCACTCGCTCACCTCAAAACCCCCATTCCCAACCCACACTTCATCCGTCGATGCTCACTGCATGGCTCTTCCGTCAGAGCCTCAACGTCGTCGCGGCCACCACAACAACCACATCGCCACCTTCCTCCAATCCACTGCCTCCAACTTTGTCTCTCTCTTCAATCCACCAAACCCTCCGTCTCTGACGCTCCCACACCCGCCCTCTTCACTTTCTCTCCCTCTCTTTTTCGGGCCGCCGTTCTCAGCCTCAAACGCCCTTGACTCCACCGCGAGCACCGCCGAGTCCGCCCCTGCCACAAAATCGGTGAGCGTCGCTCGGCTAGGCGCCAATGGGAAGGGTGGCGGCCGGGGGCCTGCCTTCGTTGGGCAGGTGTTCAGCATGTGCGACCTCTCCGGAACGGGCCTCATGGCCGTTTCCACGCACTTTGAACTCCCCTTCATTTCGAAAAGGTCCCTCCCTCTTCTTGGAATCGTATTATTTATTTTTGTTATTTTGAATTATTTCAAGATGAAAAGTTAGTTTCTTATTAATGGTTGGCGAAATTTTTTATGTTTTGTGTTTTCAACAATTATGATAGTTTTTCATTTTTTTTGCATCGGGAGACCTGTAAGAATCCATTTTGGAGTGGATTGAGAGACAACAAAAAAAATGAAAGTGATAAACGTGACAAGTGATGTGATGAGAGATGGGAAGAAAATGAAGTCGATGATAATAAACTGATTACATGAATATAGCATTTAATAAAAACTGTCTAAGACTCATACGAAGAATTTATTTAAGCTCATCTTGTGGCGTAAGTATTTGTGAAATTGTTTTGAGACTTAGCCTAAAATGTTAATAATTGGGGCGTAAGCATCAGCATATTATTTCAATAAGCTCCGTATAATAATTGCGGAACCTCTTAAGCTTAATATTTATATGCAAGTCTTTTATGTGATACACTCTTAATAAGAGTTTAATATACTTGAGATGGAAAAGAAATAATTCTTGAGACTTAATTGATCCCTCTCATAATCTTCTATTTATAAAAGTAAATTAAGAGTACATGATAATGGTAACCTTAGACATAATATAATCATGATAAATAGAGTAACCTTAGACTCAATATAAATAGGATAACCTAGACACAATATAATCATGATAAATAGGTAACCTAAACATAATATAATCATGATAAATAGGATAAATATTTTAAGCCAAACACAACCATATCATATGTGATGCTTGAGTTTGGTTGCACTTAGTGATCTTACTATCTGAGTGAGATGCTAAGAGTGAATATGTGATTTCTGTGAGATAATCTCTTACTTGTGTAGCAAACATGGGACATCTTGGTTAGGCTTTGAAGAAGTTTGGGAGTTGCTGATTATAGATTCGTGAACATTGAAAGGAATTTTCAGCAAAGATAAAGATGCTTGGTTGAAATTGTTAGTCATATAGCTTTTACGAACTTTATTTTGTATATGAATTTTCACGTATTATATATATATCATCTGCAGAACCCCTGAGTGGCTGAAAAAAATATTTGCAACGATCACCAAGAGTGAGAGGAATGGCCCTGTATTTCGCTTTTTTATTGATCTAGGAGATGCAGGTTAGATATATAAATGTTCTGCTTTTCTCTAATCTTTGTATAATTGTATGTTATTGCTTTACATATCCATTTCTTTCTTATCATTTGCTTCAAGGTTGTTTTGATCAATAATCCTATCTAGTTTTCTATATAGAACTTGATGAAATTTATGTTTATGATGATATATAAATAGCATTGTGTCCTTTAACTCGTAAGGCTGATTAGCCTTTGAATGTTCATTAATATTTTAAATAGAAAAGAAAAACATTTTGCTTGAGTGGATTGAGGAACCTAAAAGTAGGGAAGAATAAGATATTAGATATGCTCTGTGCAACATAAAAAAAAACTGATACAAGGAAAAAATAAACTCAAGAATGTGTCAAGGCTGTCCAATCTATGTATATCTGAAAATGGCAACTAAAATTAAAGTGGCCATGTACTGCACACCAAATAAAAGCCACAAAGCAAGTGGCAGATCGGCACCTTTAACGATGCAATCATTTGGGCCCAATCAGGTGCATCAAAGGGTATCGTATATACCACATGCTGCCATTAAATATTATCTTCCTTACTTTTACCATATTGTTGTATGAACCCAACAAAAACTGTTCCAAATTGAAGGGACTAATATACTGGCGTACATGCCCCAAGAATCCTAAAGGGTTTTTCCATACATAGAGCTACCTGCAATGCAAATATACTGGCCTACCGTGTCTGATCGTGATCTCATGCTGACTAAAATATTCCCCTTAACACAGTATATATTCTGTTTGTTCCCATTTATCCCTGTTAGCTCTCTGCTTGTCCATGAATTTACTCTATTAACATCTTTAGCTTGGCTAATGTTAATATCTGATCAGTAATTACTTTTTCACTTGTTACTGACATTTTTAATGGTATTAGTTTCATATGTCAAAAAGCTGAATATTCCAAGTGGTGTGGTCGGTGCCTGTCGTCTTGACCTGGCTTATGAACATTTCAAGGTACTGTTGACATTTTCATTTAAATGTAGTTGTGTTGATTTAAGCATGCCCACTGAAGGTTCTGTGTTATGTAATAATGATGAGGTTGTTTAGACATAGCATTGCATGCAGATTTATGTTCCTAATTATGGAATTTGATATATAATCTTTCTTATTTTTTTTACGCATAATTTATAACATTGTACATTACACTTCATGCAGGAAAAACCTCACTTGTTCCAGTTTGTTCCAAATGAGAAGCAGGTATTATTAGTTTTTCATTGTTGCATATCTTCGAGTTTTATTCACTGCCTTCTGTATTAATAATAAATACATCCACATTAGGTCAAGGCAGCCAATAAACTTCTGAAGGCAATATCACAGCATGGTGTCAGGAAAAAGGTTGACGGGGTTCCTGTGTTTAGTGCCGAGAACTTAGATATTGCAATAGCAACTACAGATGGGATTAAATGGTGTGTGTTTCTCAGCTTCTTCCTTGTTTCCTGTGAACTATAGTTTTTTTACCACAACTTTTTATCTTTTTGATTCGAGATGTAATATCAAACAAATAATTGTTTTGGATTTTCAATGGATGGATACCTCTTCTTTTTATTAAAGTAAGTAATTCAACAGGAATCTCTGTACTTGTTTCTTTTCCAATTGTATATGGACAGATTTAATATGATTTCTTTTGGGATTGTTTTGGTCAGTTTTTCATCCTCGGTAGTAGTAATAATATTGATTTGGGATATGCTATTTGTGTTAGGTTTTGTGTTTACTCTTGATTATTTATCTCATTATGTTTCATTGATACCAAATTCTTTAGATAAAAAAACGTTTCTACCAGAGCATGGAACTGAATACAATTACGCTTACCGTATTTCTCTTTCTTTAATCAGGTATACTCCCTACTTCTTTGATAAAAACATGCTTGATAATATTCTGGAAGAAGCTGTTGATCAACATTTCCATACCTTAATCCAAACTCGGCACATGCAGCGGCGGCGGGATGTGGTTGATGACAACTTGGCCGCAGAAGTGATTGAGGAAATGGGAGATAGTCTTGGGGAGCCACCAGAGGTATGATTAAATTCAAGAAAAAATATTTTGTTAAACAACATACGTGATAGTGAAAGAAAGTTTTCTTTTTCCAGCGGTTGTGCAAAAGAATCTCACAGATGGAGTTTTGATTGGAATCATTAATGACTAATTTAGAATTTATTTAAATACAAATAAGCATGGTTGTGCGTAGCTAGCTACAGTGCCATGGTGGAGCTGAGTAGTGGCAGAGCTGATTAGCTCCTGGCGAATGGAGCCCTTCGTGGTTGTGTAGTTCGTGGTTGTGACTGTAGTAGCCCTTGTGGCCAGGATCGGGACTATTCTGTTTTTTCTAATTTGTCACCTTTCTCCTGATTTGGCATTTCTCTTCACATCTTTACCAGCCATCTCTGTCAGTATTTTGTGACCATCTTGATGGTGTATTCTGCAGTTGCTTGGCCCCTTTTCACAACTTCTGCTCTTTTCTAGGGTTGCAGAAGGTTTTTAGAGAAGAGAAAATGATTGGAATTTTGGGAGCGGGTGGTATCAAAGTGGGTGATGTGAAAAAGTGATTAGGGTTTTTTAATATGATATATAATAATTTGATAGTTCATTAGAGCATAAGTTTAAAGGAGTTGTTGCGTTCAGAAGCTTATGAGTATAAACTTATGTAAGAGTGGAATATGCAGCACAACATTTTGTCTTAGTTCTCCTCGAAAAAGGCTATATTTGCTTTCTGATACATGATCCACTGATGCTAGGGACAGTGTTCTGAAAGTGTTATATTTTAGATTCCTGTCTCAGTGACTCCTTTATCCGGACTTCAAATCATGACTTTTTGAATACATTCAAGAAAAAACTGTCAATAACAAATTTAAATATTCTTCAAATTCAAAATAGCAGGCCTATCAATTTAAAATGCTATTCAAGATGGTCTCAAACTCGACAATTAAAAGCACCCAAAATGATCTGTGTATACTTAATAGAAAGGTTGGTCTGAGATACCTCATGTAACTTGTTCCTGAAAATCAGAGTTGTGCTCGATGTTTCCTTCACTATGTGTTTAGAAGGGATGAACTTGAGTTATACATAACATTAATATCCAGTCCTATTTCTCTTAAAAAAGGTGGATTATCACTTGAATTTTTTCCTGACAGGTTCAGGAGTTGCTTGACGAAATGGGTCATCCTAGTATACCACTAAGTGTTATTTCAAAAGCTGCTGAACTCCAGTTCCACTATACTGTTGACAAAGTATTTCTGGGTAATAGGTGGTTGCGAAAAGCAACAGGCATACAACCTAAATTTCCGTATTTGGTTGACTCATTTGAGAGAAGGTATGTTTTTAATTTTTTTTTTGAGCCTTTGAAACTGCAATGTATAATTCGCGGCATTTGAACTCCTGTCTTTACTTCAGTGGTTTCCTTGTCTAGAGTTTTCATGCATTAAGGAAAGGATTTAGCAAATCTTGCCTAAGAATAAATGATATTTATACAAACTCAGATAACTTTGGTTGGATATGAATTTTTTTTTTTCATTACTTAATATCCACGTTTGTTGTACATAGGTAAAAGGGGGAAATCAAGAACTGCATTATTAGATTATTATATATATATATATATATATATATATATATATATATATTCAGTCGTTTGTGCTTCGCATTGACTTTACCATTGCACCTGTGGAAATGTGTAAACTTGGTTCAGATTTTGTTAAACTTATATCATTGATTTGTTAGGCTCCTCATCTAAATAGAGCTTTTCTTGTCTCAACCACCAAGAATGTTCTGTCACTGCTTCAAGAATCCTTCCCTATTATTTATAACTGTAGAAATGTAGTATGGACGGGATTATGGAGGGATTTAAAATGGGAAGTCTGTTGTCAGTCATCCCCGTTATCTTCTCTAGAATCTGTCTTCGAAGCCTTAAAATTCACTTATACATGACACACTTAGTGTAAGTTCAATTTGAAGATGTTTTATTATTCTAAAAGTAATCTGATGTCTTCTTTTTCTCATCTCAAATAAGCATTTATATATTTCTCCACTTTATCGACCTAACTTGAACATGTTTGGTGTAGGTCTTTATTTATTGTAACTTTTTGAAAGAGTTTATTTGATTGGTCATTGATATATATTGTTAATACTGAAAAATGATTGCAAATTCAGAGTCAAGCTCCTGTGACTAGGAAAAGAAAATTGTTAGCAACTATGGTTTGGAAAGGAACTGTTGAAAATCACAAGACTAGAGATATGTTCAAATTATAGTATATCAATAGGTGAAAATCTCATCTTGTAAGTTAGTTTTGCAATATTGAATTACACTTAAAGCCCACTGTCTAAGATGATGTCAGAGCTGATTCAAGTGATGGTTTTGGGGTCTATCATATTGTCCATTATTGGACCACTATCCAATTATCCATATGTATTTATTTTCAAGCTTAAGATGCAAATCCCAGGTGTGTTTGCAAGTTACTATCAAATTATCCATAAATATTTATTTTCAAGCTTAAGATGCAAGTCCCAGGTGTGTTTGTAAGTCCTAGGTGTGAAGAATGTGTTGAAGATCTTTTACATCAAATAGATTTATATGATCAAATTATAGTATGTAAACTGGTGCAGACATTTGCAAGTTCATTTTGTTAGGTTGAGTTAGACTTAGGATCAATGTTATAAAAGATAGATGATCAAAGCTGCCAAGTACATTTTGCACTCCTTGCCCTATGCTACCGAAATGATACTTGTGCCTTTCAAGTTTCTAATATAAGGAATTGCAGTAATTACAGTCATAGTGTCTAGCTTCTAAGGAAGTAATGAAGGAATAGCAAAAACGGAATCAGCATATTATTAGAAAATAATCTGCCCATAATCAGACATCGTCTACCCAATTATTTACCCCATTCTAGAGCTTGCAAAATACCAACGTAAGTGGCAGCTACCAATTAGCTGTGAAAAAGTGAGATTGCTGTTGGTTTGGCATGTCTGTCTGTAGTAATTAAGCCTGGCAAAAGTTGGATAAATTCTTGTGAGGGCAATGGTATAGATGATACGCCACTACCCCAACCATCTCTACCACTTCAGTTAATGATGAGTGATTCACAAAGTGTTACGAATAAGTTAAAGGGTGTCATTCTGGCCACCTGTTTTGTGGATCATATGCTGCACTTAACTTTACTTGTAGTAGAGACAGCATAGCCAAAATTTACTAATGAAGTTGCATCCTTCTGAAACCATTACGCTAGGAAACTCATGTAAACCAACATCCCCGTTGACAACGAGTGCAGCTTCCCCTTGGCATAAATGAGAATATTTAATCAAATGGTCTACTGCTACCAATTTAAAAAATCTGTTCTTTTGATCATGGAACTAATACAATCCATCGAGATATCTATACGATCCCATCCCATACCCCTCAAATTTGAGGAAGAGGGTTCTGGATGGAATGTTTTCCATATCTTTTCAGTTGGGTTTTTGCTTTGTATTTTAATTTTAAGGTTTAAACAATTCAAACAACTGAACTAGGTGCCTTCCCATTTCAGTGCATTCATTTTTTCTTCCGTTAACCATATAGCCCAAGTACTGGTGCATGATCTGAAATCTTGACTGAAAAATGTTTTGGGTACTAATTTCATATGTTTAGAAAGTGTTGTACTCGTTACGCTAGCTAAACCCTCTATTTCCATGAATTTTATGTTTTGCATTTGAGTAGCAGATGANTAGGAAACTCATGTAAACCAACATCCCCGTTGACAACGAGTGCAGCTTCCCCTTGGCATAAATGAGAATATTTAATCAAATGGTCTACTGCTACCAATTTAAAAAATCTGTTCTTTTGATCATGGAACTAATACAATCCATCGAGATATCTATACGATCCCATCCCATACCCCTCAAATTTGAGGAAGAGGGTTCTGGATGGAATGTTTTCCATATCTTTTCAGTTGGGTTTTTGCTTTGTATTTTAATTTTAAGGTTTAAACAATTCAAACAACTGAACTAGGTGCCTTCCCATTTCAGTGCATTCATTTTTTCTTCCGTTAACCATATAGCCCAAGTACTGGTGCATGATCTGAAATCTTGACTGAAAAATGTTTTGGGTACTAATTTCATATGTTTAGAAAGTGTTGTACTCGTTACGCTAGCTAAACCCTCTATTTCCATGAATTTTATGTTTTGCATTTGAGTAGCAGATGAAACTCAAAAATAATTTTTGTAATCAGTTGACCCCCGACCATGTTAATAAATGAGCAGGAAGCTTTGTTCGACGACTTAAATAAACTTTACTACTGATTAGTGATTAATCGACAAATAAGCTCAAGCAACTGACAATCTGGATAATATTTCAATTTTAATATAACAGCGGACAATATCAAACAGAACTTTTAAAGTTGGATGTCCAATGATTTGTAACATTATATTTCTTATCCTGCAGAAGTGAAGCTTCTTATCTGAGAGCTACCGAATCAAGGCGCTGCCTTGAGAACCCTGAAGTGGAAGATGATAGGAAAATTTCTGAATGCATAGATTCTTCTAATTGCAGTTTGGATGACAATACTGAAGCAATCAGACAACCTAGTTTCAGGCTAAGTCTACCATTTGGTAATTGGTTTCATCACCTATGGCCAAAACGGTGTCATGAAAAAGCAGGATCATCTAAAAAAGGTGTAAATAAGGAAGATACGAAATCAACCCCCTTTCTTCCAAAAGTTACAATGGTTGGTCTCTCTACAGAGGAAGCAGGCCAGATGAGCAAAGCAAATTTAAAGAAGACAATGGAGGATTTGACGAAAGAGTTGGAGAAGACAGAGCTAGATAATATGTCAGGTGGTGGCTGTAAAGAGGGCACAATGGAAGATAGGGATCCACTATTTGTGGCAAATGTGGGCGATTACTATTCTAGTTTGGGAAGAGCAGGATCTGGTCGCTGGATCAGAGGAGGAAACAACTAAAACCATTTTTTGTCGCAGAAATTTTCATTTTCAGGTTACCTATTTAACACGTTACAGTGTTCGAGCTAAAAATAAACCTCGTTTGCGGTGGATGGATCAAGCTGGAGATTATGTCTTTGATCGATGTTGTAAATGATAATTTTTGTAATTCATCAGTGATGCCCATTTTGATCTGGGAAGTTAAATAAAACTGTTACAAATGACATTAATATGTATAAACTTGACCCTGCGTAAAGGAAAGAAAATTATGTCAATGTTGTCTTCAGTTAGGGACTATTTGGTCATGGTTTTCTTACATCTGGAGAGAATTAAAATTCTGCTGCTTATTGTATCTCCCTCAATTTTTTTTGTAAAGGTTAAATTTTGGAAAGTTAATATTAATTAATTTTTACGACTTAGTTTGTAGATATCCAATTTTAGATGAAGTTTACTGTTTATTTTCTTTTTGTCCGAAAGTGCTTATCAAGAAAATAAGTCTTAAATCAGTTATTAGTATCCTATTTGGTTTTCCATGATGAGGGGTTAAATTAGTGTTCGAAAAATTAAATTAGCAAATTTTAGTTGCACATTGAGTTTAATTAATTAGGGTTCAGTATGAAATATAAGGAACAATATGCTTTTTGTCATCAAGATCTCAACAGTAGAGAGAAAACAAAACTTCTTTGGTCTTATTATAAATGTCCTTTTTTATACTTACAATTAATATTTTAGAGAGATTATGTTTTGTGTGAAAGTTCTGATGAAAATTTCCAGTAAGGCCCACCTTTTGTATTTTTAAATATTTTTCAGATGGTTTTCTTATAAAACTTTTCAGATATGTAACTGAAATTTATTATAGTTTAAACTTCTTTTTTGACTGAAGCAATCTTATTTCTTACCGGTTTCAGACTGATTTTAAACTTTGTTATTTTTCAACCGGATTTTAAGTTAAATTAACATTATTTAATGTAAATTGGACAAATTACTAAAAATGCAACATTTTTTATTAAAAAAATGTATGATTTTTTCAGATGAAATAAAATAATATTTTTCTTGCAGGTTCCATCAGATGAGATAAAAAATATTTAACTATTATCCTTAGACAAAATGAATAAAAACGGTAATTTTTCAATTATTCAAACAAAAAAAAATTGGAAATATTTTAACATCTATCTGTATATTCTTTATTTTGAAATCTTCCCTACAAAAATCTATTTAACAAAACCTAATTTTTATGAAAAATTCAAAATGTTCAAATAATATTTAAATAAACAACACAGATCAACAGAAACATCTAAGATCCAACATAATCGGCTGACTTAAAAAATTCAAATAAATTAAACTCTTTTTCTTTCTTTTGTTTTTATCTTGAAAGACACATTAAAACATTCACAAATTCAAGTTGTCTCTTGAACTCACTTGAATAGAGACAATTGGTCATATATTAATTATCAATGATCATCAGCAGCGATAGTTATATATGAAATTGTCAGGTTTCTGACACCAAAAGCTTTGAGAAAAGCAACAATTACTGTTACTTTAAGCTTGAAATGGTTTGACATATAACTTAGAATCTTCATCACTCACTTTATTATCATTTCATTATCTATTCATTGCAGATTCAAAATATAGGAAAAGAGCATTGTTAATGTAACTCTTACATCCAAATTTAATTGTTTTATAAACAGTAAGCTTCTTTTAATAGTTACTAAGTTAACGCTATGTGAATCATTTTTTCTTTCAAGTGAAAATTTTTTTTTTAGTTTAGTCTCTAATAGTTTTTTTTTTTAAAATTTACAATATTATAATTATTTGGCAATTTGAAATTTTGATTAAGTTTTTTGTAAAAACAAAAATTTTAAAACTCTTAATCAATATTTTTGTATCTTTATGAAACTCACTATTTATATTTCCATGAAATATAACACACTTATTTTTTAATTTTCAAGTTCTATATCAAACCTCCAAACCTTACTTAAAATATTTTTAAAACAATATTTACCAATTAAATGAGAACTTAAATTGTTGCAATCAAATAAATAGTTGTAGTCACTATAACTAAATCCAACATAAATGTATTATGTCATGATAGTAACTTTAAAAACCCCTTAAATTCAGCTCAATAATGAGTGGTATAAATATGTTTAAAATTAAAGGTTATGTGCATTAGGGAACATTATGATATTTAAACAGGAATATATAGTGGTGGAGTTATCGTTAGGATAAGGGATTCAGTTGGCTCCTACTGCGCTTTCAATCGTTACTCTCTGAATTTCATAAGCGAAATACATTAAAACGATGGTCACCTGAAAGTTATTTTGGACACTCAATTAATAAAATATTCGTTATTCCATCCCACAATATTGTTTAGGTTAATTAATATAAATATGCTAACTATATTATGTAAGTGTGCCTTGTTCCTACTTACCATGAGAAAAAAGGCATGGTCTTCATGCATTAAACAACAGGTGAAAGCATGGGAAATAGAGACGTAGGAACATGAACATATTCGCTCTGACACTTTTTTTTGTGCTGTAATGGGGCTGTTGTGTAATACTTTTATGCATCTTAGCACACACACATCAAAAGGGGGGCTAGGGGGTCCTTGGTTAAAGAGTGATATCCAAATATGCATGCGATTTTATCCTCCACTACTACTAAACTTTTCTTTATATTATTGGAAGTTAAAAATCTAATTTTCAAAAATATTTAAATGAGAAAAGTTTAGCATATAAATAATTTTAACTTATAAAAAAAAATCTAAAGATAGATTAGATCATAGTAATCCACTTTTTCAATTCTTTTTATGAAGTGGGTTTTTGTCATAAAAGGGAATGCTGAAAACAAAGAGAGAGAGATCCAGTTTTGTAGGGGTATTCCATTGGCAAAGCCAACCAAATTGAATGGAATGAAGACTATCTTTGAAATATGTGATTCTTCTACAACAAAAAGAAGCATGAATTTGCATCTAATACACGGTAGCGCTGTAGGTGTTGTTCCCGCATTCTCAACACTATGAAACGTCGCATTTCAGGTCGTATTCTATCAGGCGGGTCTCACCTTCGTCTCCGTGTACTCCCCCCCCCCCCCCCCCCCCCCCCCCCCCCCCCCCCCCCCCAAAAAAAAAAAAAAAAAAAAACAAGGTTTCATAATTTCCAATTTCAATGAAGAGGCGGCTTTTTGCAATCCCCTTCTAAAAGAAAAGGCTTTATAGACATTTGGTCTCACAATCCTCAGCATCAATGATGCCATATAACATCCATATACTTTAGAGGAACTTTTCTTTGTATTTTAAGGGTTGGAACTCTAAGGCCTTGTTCTTTTGAGTAGATTTGAGGGAGTGGATTTGAGAGAATTTAAAAATAAATTTTTTTGTCGTTTATTTGAGTGAATTTGGAGGTAAATGAGAGTGAATTTGGAAATACAAGTTTTGAGAATTAGTATAGATTTATTGAACGTGACAAATTAAAAAATTTAATGTTCCAATTCACTCTCATTACCTCCAAATTCACTCACATAACGACAAAAAAATTTTATCTTCAAATC